GGGCGCCCCGAAAAGAGGAGGCACCGCGCGCGCGGGAGCGGGGCTGCGGCGGCTGCAGGCGCATCCCCGGCTGAGCACGCGTTCTGGGGAAGGGAAGGTTGCAGGGCAGTTATCAAAGGCAGTCGAGTTCCTTTTCCTGACCCTCCCCCCCCCCTTTCCTCCTCGTTTCGAAATCCGCTGTCCATTTAAAGAAATAGCGGTCGCTACCAACCGAAATAGGTGACTCGACTGCAAAGTTGACAGGACGTGTTCCTGAGGATAATATCCTTCCCCAGGACCACTGCTCTGAAACTGTCATCGCCGGATTGGAGGACCCTGAGATCCTGCCAGGAGAGCAATAAATGATTGGAAGAACATTGAGGGGAAGTTAAGTCGGTGAGCTGAGGGTTCTAGCCTAAAGCACAGGTGGTCTGATTATCGTTTTTAGTTTTTATAGTCTCTTTACCCTGAAGTGTCCAGTTCAGAAGGCTGAGAACGTTATCATTATGTTTAAATTCTAAACCCTGCTAATACATACATAGGGGGTTAATGTATGTATATGTGTTGTTACACAAATACGTATGTATAAATATAGTGTGTGTATATATACACATATAGACCAGGACAGATTTCCTAGATTCTCTCCAACCTACAGATTTTTCCTAGCCGCTGCCCCTCACTTCTCCAGGTGTTCAGACTTTTTCACACGCTCATCAGAACCCTCTGAACCAAAATTTATGAAAGGAGTTGGAGTGGCAAAGAGTCCTGTTGCTGGGAAGGTGGGACTAATGGCTGTTTGTAAGCCGTTTTTGTCACCTGGTAGTCCTATCCTCCCCAGGAGAGTTCATGTCCACATCCACTCTTCTTAGACCACCTGCTGCCCCACCCCCAACAATTATCTATCTTTCTGCTTTTGATCCCTCCACTGATGATTCTAGTGTCCCATTGCTGGGGGTTAAAGTTAAATCGTATAAACCTCTGTATCACTTATCAGTATGACAGTTGGCAACTCTCAGCTTCTGTACAATGGGAGTGGGGAATAGCACCTATCCTGTAAAATTCTTGTGAGTATCAAAGAGCAAATATATATACAATGTATTCAACTACCTGAGTGCTTGCTACCTATAATAACATGCTCAATTAACATTAGCTACAGTTATTTAACCTCGGGACAGAAATAACTCTCAGCTTCTCTTCCTATCTCCTCCTTACCTATTCCAAGTGACTCGCTGAAGAAGAAGGCTGAATTAGAACGAATGTGGTTCCAAAGCCAAGTAAACAGTAGTAACTGTGGCAAACATTGCGTTCAGACCAGGGATTGGCGATCTCTTTCTGTGAAAGGGCGGATAATAAATATTTAAGGCTTTGTGCACAGAGGTAAAGGTAAGGACATTATATAGATCTTTGTATAATAAGAGAAAAAACAAATATCCACAATTTTTAATTGACAAAAATGTAAGGTGTAATCGTAATAACGATTGTAATACAGGTTTAGTAATGGGAGGAAGAGAACTCATTTTTTGAGGGAGGACAACATTTCACTTAGTTAAACCCCAATTCAAAGTAACTGTTCTCTATCCTCAAAACTGCAAATGTTTACCTGTTAACATTGATCTGTAATGACATTTTACATATTTCAGTTTTTAAAATACCTTTTCACCCAGATAGGTACTGCCATGAGCATATTCATTGCTTAGAAGGCATTTATACAATTCTATTAGACTTCTCTAAGTTCTCTTGATATTTCTCCTTTAGCACGCCATTGCATTGCACATTGATTATTTCCGCTTGAAGGGTAGGTGGAAGCACAGTTAAGTGGATTTAAAATATGGAAATTTCCTTTCATTTACATCAAAATCCAAAAACCACTGTTGGAACTGTAGTTTGATTTCAGAAAAAAATAAATGCTGCAAATTTGTGTTGGGATGGAGATCTTGTTTCTTGTTTTAACTTTTGACAGTATGGGACGTATATAAAGCAGCTTGATATCATTTGTGATCGACTTCTCAGCTGCTCCCAACCCCAATCTTTGTTATCTAAAGGCCTGGAAAGCTAGTTTTCTCTCAGCTCTTCTACCCCTCTACAAGTCTTTCTTAGCTTGAAAATCCAGTTTATCTCTGAGAGTGTCTCTTAGCTCCCATTCATTGGCCTTGTTTTTGTGGTCCTACCCTAGTAGTTAGTGAATATCAGTAGGAAAGAATTGTAAGGCAGTATAGTTTTGCTCTGTGCCTGTGACTCCTCTGGATTTTAACCTGTCACATCAGCCCACACACTGCCATTAAAATTTATTAAAAGTTAGGCTGATTTCTCCTTAGCGTTGTCTATGGTGGACTTCTCTACGCTGTAGTCAAGGTTGAGAACCACTGTGGGTCTTTTTTCTTATAAAGAATTGTCATTTTCTGAAATTTAGTTCACTTAGGTTTCTCTGTGCTCTCATCTCTCTAAAGTTTTTTTTTCTTTTTAACTATAATTGTTTAGATTATCTGATGTGTTAGGAAGTGAATTATGGTTTTTTGTGACTGTCTACATACAAACTGAAAGAGGAATCTGAATGTCTAATCTTTATCTTCCAAAAGAGTGATGGAGAGGGACCAAGAGCTGGGAAGAATGATCAGTTAAGAATATGTGGAAGTGGATGTGTTTAATTTACAAACCTCCAGCCATTATCGTAGTATAATGTTACATTTTTAAAATGAAAACAATAACATTTTAAACAATATAAGCTATAATAAGAAACACCATCAGTATATCTGCCAAACCAGAATTCCTTAACCCAATGAGCATGCTTCTGTAAGAGGGATTGGTCAATCGGTGGTGTGGAAAAGAAGAGATAAAATGTTTATGCTTATCTAAATAAGATGTGAGTCTACAGCCATGCCACCCTGAACACTCCTGATCTCATCTGATCTTGGAAGCTACACAGGGTTGGGCCTGGTTAGTACTTGGATGGGAGACCACCTATTAAAATTAAATAAATAAAATTAAAAAAACAAATAAGACATGGATTTGAAACTTTGAGAATCACTGCCCTAAACTACATATTTTCTTTATTATATCAGTCAGAGTGCAATCAGAGAAGTAGAATCACTCTGTGTGTGTGTCTGTATATTAGATACGTGTATACAGTGATTCTACTCTGCTTTCATGCTGACTGATATAGAAAAGGAAATATATATAGGGCAGGCAGTTGGGAAGAGCAGATGGATGTAAAGTAGGTAAAATCAAGAATAAGCTACAACTCAAAAGCATGAGCTAGAGTCCATGAGGATGGATTAAAACCCATATCAATTCTCACTGCCTCTGATCTTGATGGCTGGAGTGTCCTACACAAGCTGGGGCCCTTTGTCATAGAACTATACATTTACTCCCCTAACCTAGGTGTGGCAGAAGCTGAGCTAGGATCTTGGTGAAGGAGGATCAGTCACAGGCTCAGCCAGTGCCACACCCCAATGAGGTGAGGCAACAGATAAATGACCACGTGTGTGAGCTACAAAATGTCTACTGCTTCATTTCTAGGCTCCAGATCACACGACACTCTCTCTTGTGGCCCACCCTAACAGGAAACACAAGAGAACTCTAGAGATGTAGTTCAACTTAGCCAAGTTGTCAAATTACAGCATCACTAAGTGTAATAATCAGCTTTTGATAAGCCCCCTCTGACAGTTATATTTTTAGAATTTCTTTAGTATTCTGTCACATCTCCCATATAACCTTCAAACTATTGTACTCCATGTGCCTTCTCCCTATAGCTTCCCCATCTTTCTACTAATGCCACCGTATTATCAACCTCCAACCTAATAAACCTCAAAATAATTTTTGACAAGTTGCTCTCTTTTATGCCGTATATATTGCTTATCCCAAATCTTTCTGTTTTGTTTACAGATGCTCCTCTGTCTTTTCAGTCATCTTTCTAGAAGTAACAACAATGTAAGTTTGGATTAATGCCACTTCTCTTTTTCTACCACCAAACTTCTGTAGCTCATCTGTCATCACTACTGGATCTTATATCTCCGCTCGAATCTCTTCATTACTCCCATTTCTGTCCTTAGGTCATATCCCATATTACTTAAAACTCTACTCACACACACAAACTATGAAAGTTTTTTTCTGTCATGCATTACCTGAAAACCACCTCTTTCATAAATCCATCTCGCACTATATAAATGGAAGATATCCAAAAGCTAAGGAGTTGGAATGCTGGCGTGGATTTATTATGTTAGTACTGCTCAGCTGTCCCCTAATTATGACCTGGGAGGTTCAGAAGTCTTTAAGAAAAGCATTGTTGAAGAAACAGCATCCTTGTCAAGTTCTGTAGTAGCTGTTCTCCATAAGCCATTAATGCTATCATTAAACTGGGCTCCATGGATTTATTGGAGATGGTGGGATACTGAAGTGACAGGCGCAAGTGACATCACTTAACTATCTTAACTACCAGAGAGAAGGGAAACGTGGCAGTCATAATGGACAGAGCTAGAATGGTCATCGGAGTGATTTGATCTTTCAATGGTGTTGGCTGATTTATTGTAATCCCCCTAGGACTGAAATACATACACTACTACCCTACTAATGTCTTACTTGATTTTTATGCATAAAAAAGCTCTATGACTGGAGTAAAGAATTCTTATTTGAATCTCAGAGCGTCCTCAACTGATTTCCAGTCTTGATTCAGTCCAGATCAAGTAGATGCAGAGCCCTTAAATTAAGGGGAGACAGATCTCCTTAAGGAAGAATCTTGCTACATTGCCAAAATGTATGCTGTATATCTTCTACTCACCCTTCCCCGAAGGCAACTTTGGGCACTTACCAATACATATGTGCACTGGTGACCAGAAAATAACCAAAATTTGGGGAGATTATTGCACACTAGCTCTGAATTAACACTGGTTCCTAGAAACTCCCAATGTCACTTTGGTGTGCCAATCAGAGTAGGGCCTAAGACATCAGAAAATAAGTGGAGTTTTGGCTTGAGCCCAACTCATAGTGGGCCTGGCAGATACCCAAACACACCCCATGATTATTTTTCTAGTTCTGAAATAGAGTTGGAATTTACATACTCAGCAAATGGCAGAATCCCTGTATTGATCCCCCAAATTATGCATTGAGAGCTTTACAATAGAAAAAAGCCAGAAAGGAGTTCCTAGAACTTCTGTAGTAGCCATTCTCTGTAAGCCATTAATGCTATCATTAGTATGGCAAGTGTTTACTTGCCAAAATAATAAACCAAAGGCAATTTAGCATTCTTGGAGGGATTACAAGGAATAGTGCTGCCATAAGGGCCCTAAAGGATGGAGAAATGATCATTTCTAGTACAGTCTCATTTATTTCACCTCTTTGGCCTGTGACAAAGGGATAGATCTTGGAAAATGTTGATGGATTATGGTGAACTTAATCAGGTCATGATTCCAGTTGCATCTGTTATTCCAAATGAGGTTTCTTTATTGGAGTAAACCAATACAGTCCTTGGTACCTAGTATGCAGCTCTTTATCTGGTTAATACTTTTTCTCTTATCTCTCATAGTAAAAACTACAAAAATCAGTTTGCTTTCAACTGGTAGGACTAGGAATACATTTCACTATTCTCTCTCAAGCCTTTATCAATTCTACAGCCCTCTAGTATAATCTAGTATAGTCTAATATAGTCCGAAAAGAACTTGATTGCCTTTTCATTCCACAAAAATATCATTTTATTCCATTACAGCAGCAAATATCCACAGGCTGAGAAATAAATTTCATAAAAATTTAGGGCCCTTCTGCCTTAGTGATTGCCTCCTCTGATCTGGGTCATGGTCAAGACATCCCTTCTAAGGTGAAGAACAAATTGCTGCATTAAGCCTTTCCTCCTCTAAAGAAAGAGGCACATCTAGTGAGCTTCTAGGTTTCACTGGGACTCACTGTAACAGCAGGGTCTGCGTCAGGTCCAAGCTGTGTGCCAGCTCCTCTGCCCCTTGAGCTCTTTGATCCAGAAGACCCACTGACATTTGAAATGTCTGTGGCAGATAGGGAAGTTGTATGAGGCCCTTGGCAGGATCCTATAGGTGAATTACAGTGCTGACCTTTAGGATTTTGGAGCCAAGCTATGCCATCTTCTAAACATAAACATTCTCCTTTCAAGAAATAGCTTCTGGTTTGCTACTGGACCTTAGAAGAAATTGACTACTTGACTTTGGATGACCGAGTCATCATGGAACTTAAACTGCCCATTTTGAGCTAGGTGTTGTTTGACCCACTAAGCCATTATGTTGGGCATGCACAGCTCACTCCAGCATGAGTGGAAGTAATATACAAGACTGAGCTTAAGCAGATCCTGAAGGAACAAGTAAGTTACATGAGCCATTGGCTCAGATTTCTATGGTTCTTATTCTACTGAATCCTCTCTCTCAAACCACACCTATGACCTCATGGGAAGTTATCCGCATCTACTATACTAAGGAAGAATGAGTTCAGGTCTGATTACAGATGGCTTGGGGAGGGTTATGCTGGTACCACCTGAAAGTGAACAACTATGGCTACTGCCCCACTTTGGAGTGTTACCTTTATACATTAGTATTTAAGTTACAAGATATCAAAGGAGGAGTGAGATCCAGTTATAAGACAAATGGACATCATCTAGAGATAAAATCTTATTTGTGTATCCTTTGAGGGAGAAGATCAGTACCTTTTCATCTGTATGAGGGGTAGTTACACCTTGTTAAGTGGAAGCATGATTTTTCATGTTATCTTTATTTGGAAGTGGTTAAAAGGGGTAGAGCTGCCAAATTGGTAAACAGCAGACTGCTAATTCCCATAGTTCCCTTTCCCTTATATCTGAGTTAGAGTTGGCAGAAGAAGCGTCTACATGAAATCTGAAAGGAAGAGGTGAAGAAGTGGTCACTGCTTTCAGTAGTTTGCTGCAGTCAGATATGGTAATGGATAGATCCAGAAGTCCGTTTTGGATCCAAGCATGTCTGCTCTCCTTAAATTTCATGATCAGCCAACCCACTGAGGCAACAGCTGCCCTCCTTTAGGCATCTGGATATAATTGGCCTCTTGGGTTTCTTTGCAAGTTTCAACTTGTCCACCTGTGCCAGTGTTTCCACTTGATGGATTATTGACTGCTCACTGGTACAGTCTATGTAAGAAAGGCATGATAAACACTTGATTTTTTTTCTTTTTCTTTACTGGTTCTCAACATAATAAATGATTTTCTATCATCTCCCCATGGTGAGCTACTTACTTTTCCCCCAAATATCTTAACTCATGGATTTAAACATAGTTATCTATTTTAATGCATTGCGATTAGTGCCCTTAATGATGTACAAATTGTCCATCCTTGGCCATCTGTCAAGTTCTAATATAATAGATTCATTATTATTTATTACATAGTATTCTAAAATTCCCACCATTATTTCTCCTTTTACCCATGCAATTATTTAAAGGTATGGTTTCCTTTAAAATTTCAAGAGCATGAAATTTTCTTTTTACTTATTTTAATTTGTTTTTAATTGATATCTTACGTAATTGCACTGTGGTTCAAAATTTGTTGTCATTTGATACTGGTATTTTGAAGTCTGCCAAGATGCCTTATGACCATGTGGAGTTCTACAGACTTTTTCTGTAAAAGGCCAGATAGTAAATACTTTAAGCTTTTGGGACATATTCTCTCTTCACCTTATCAATTTTGACTTTATATAATTTGATACTATTTTATTAGGTACACGTAAGTTTAGAATTTTTATGTTTTCTTAGTGAATTGGGCATTTTAAAAACTATTATGAATGTCCCCATTTATACTTAATAATTGTTTTAGTTTTAACGTCTATTATTTCTAATAAAAATATAGCCATAGCAGCTTTATTTTGGTTAATATTTGCCTGTTATATCCTTTTTTGTCCTTTTATTTTCAAGCTTTATTTGTTTTTAACATTTTTGGTGGACCTCTTCTGAATATCATATAGCTAGTTTTAAAAAATCTTTTCTGACATTACCTGCTTTTTACTTAAGAGTATATTCCAGTCGTGAATTGTGATTATAGATTTATCTGGACTTGTTTATCCTATGTCATTTTAAATTTCTATTTGTCTTGCTTCTTCTATATTGCTTTATTCTCTTTTCATGGCAGAGATAGTCAATTGGCAAATATTCCATGTGCTGCCCCACATTTAGGGGCAGCGACATGAGTAATCCTGAATAATAGGAATGAAAGTGACTGTTACTTCAGGTACACAGCTGGAAAAGGTAGGTTTGAGTTCTCCACGCTTTCTTTTATCTTCTTGCAACAACTTAAAACATGCCAGATGGTAAAGCCTTCCTCGGTCAAGTCCTTCAATGACTGTAAAGAGCAGAGTCTCCTACCAACCTGCACTGGTGTGCAGCAAGAGCGAGAAGTAAATTTTTTGTGTGTTACATCAGTGAGAGTGAAGTTAATTTATCATCATAGCTCAAAGTAGCCTATTATGACTCAGACATTATCTTAAAAGATTTAGAACGTTAACATTTTAAATATTTTCCTTTTTTCCGTTTTTCCCTTGGTTTGGAATGTGTTTGATCTATCTCTCTTTTTTTATATTTAGTGTGTCGGTGTGTGTGTATGTGTAGAGATTGCCATTACAACTTGTAAGCCCAATAGGGCATTGCGAGTATGTTTTATTCAGGATCTAATTGTGTTTATTTGTATTGCTGGATCCTTCGGATTGTCTGGGGGACCACACTACTGCAAGTGGAATCACTGTTCCTTTTTCTTGCAAATACATAGAAGCCCACCACCAGTCTCCTGTCACATATGACAGGTTCATAGCTCCTAAGCCAAAACTATTTGTCCAAATGTGTTTCTGAATTCAGGCATTTTGGATTTAGAAAGAGTATATAGTGCCCTTCCAAATCCAAGATTAAAATAATTCAGCAACCAAATGTGTGAATATTCAGAATAAACAAGATATATACAGATAGTAAATTGCCTCCGGCGGTTGACATCGGAGTCTGCCACCAAATTAGTTATGGAAAAAAAATTGTTTTTTAAATATTTTTCTGGAATTATGAATAGGGAATTCTTGACTTGTATTTTTTTATTAGGCTACAAAGTAATTGATTAGGATAATTCTGGCCACTTTAGTTTAAATGAATGTTTTCCAAGGCTCTTTAGCAACAATGTCTTTCATATTGGTTTTTACTAGCAATATCTGCATCACCAAATGGAGGCCATTTCCTGATGACTCCGTTTCAGCATCGCGTTTATTGATTATAAATTTTAATTTTGGATACAAAATTTTAAGAACGTTTATTACATCAATGTGTTTTCATAGCAGGTCATGTAAAGTAGCAAAAAGTTCTGGAAGCTATAGCACATGAAGGATATTCGAAGAAAACAAGTATATTGTAGAGTAGAAAGTCAGGGAAAATGTCAAGTATGTTAAAGACTTAGAATTGCAGAAGGATCTTTAGAGGCTTCTTGTTCTAACCTTTTATCCAGTACAGAAACCCTGTCCTAAAGACTTCCAAGTAGGTCATCACTGCTCTCTTCCAGAATGAGGGAGCACACAGTTTGTAAAGCAAGCCTCCACATTATTTAACTGCTAAATTAATAGGCAGTTTTTCCTTATACTGAGAAACTTATTACTTAGCCACAATCCATTTTGAAAACACACACACTGTCTATGGCCATGCCACCCTGAACAAGCCCGATCCTGTTGGGTCGCGAAAGCTAAGCAGGGTCGGGCCTGGTTAGTACTTGGATGGGAGACCACCTAGGAAGACCAGGTGCTGTAGGCGTAAAAAATAAAAAAATAAGGAATTGTAAGCTGACAGGGTCCTTGCAGTCTGTGAGGTCAGCTAAGTTTTGTCTCGCCTAAAAAAAAAGAAAAAAGAAAGAAAAGAAAATATACTTACACACCATACATTTTGTTTTCTCCAGGATACCCAGTTCCTTCAAAATACACAAGGATGGAAATGTTCAAATTGTAAATTTCAGAATGAATATCCCAAAATGGAGGTAATCAAAGGAGCTTTTCAGTAATGAGGCATACTCCTTCCCAGCATGGGGACATCTCGTTTTGGGTTGTAATAAAGCAGAGTGGGGCACTGCTTGATCTGAAGGAGAAATTCCTGCATGAGAGGCATAACCCACTGGCCTGTAAGTTCCTCCCCAGTTTCAAACTACATGATTCTTTGATTCCAAATGGATGGGAAATGGTGAAACAAAACATCTTTTCCAGTCTTCTTCCTTCCTCCCTTCATGAATAATTAACCTCACATTGAATCATCCTTCCTAAGAAAAGTTCTGAGTTTGTTATGCCCATCTGTCTTCCAGTCAGTTTGAACTTACAAGGTAATTTTTACAGAATTCCCAGCAGAATAGACAAATTCTGATCAGTGGTTGCCAGATAGAACGTGTGTCCTGTTCTAATCTGTAGTAAAGTATATTTCATAAAGTTAAATTGGATTCAAAAGAACATTTTAAAATATTTTGAATTAGTATAGATATGATTGTATGGCTGTTATTGAGAATGACTCTTTTCTCATGTGATACATTATTGCTTTGTTATCAAAAATCCTGTAAACATTTTAAAAACAAAACGGTTAAAGAACAAAAAAACACTGTTATCAAAGGCAGATATATTATAGGATACTTAAAGTTGCATGGAAAGACATCACTAAGGGTGAGGAGCTACTATACACAAATCTCATTAGGCATAAATTCTATAGAAACCTTCTTATGTGACAACATCTTCACTGGGTATGGGTTGACAGTTGGTTAATTGGAAAAATCGATTAAATGCTGATAAAAACTGATTAAAAATATTTCTTAAGCATGTGTTTTACCTTAAAATATATAAACATATGCTTTCTGATATGTGGCCAAAACGTTTTCCAAAAAGATATTTTTTTTATTATTTTTTTAAACATGGATCTGCAGCTTACAGTGGCACTTTTTCCCCCTGTAAACTACACACATAATTCATGGTCTAGGATTTCTAGCTTGAGTTCTTTTAAAGCGAACCGAGAATTTCAAATCACATATAAGACAATTGAGTGCAGCCTCTTAGATTTTGCACTTTTCTTTTGCCAAGCTTTTGTAGCTGCCTCTCTACAACTAAGTCAACAGCTATTTCTAGTACTTACCCTTTCCAATCTTTCCAAAGTGTTAAACTTAGTTTTCACAGAAACTATAACCCTCTCTCTTTTTATGCTATGTCATCAGTTTATTCAATATTTAATTAATTTGGATAATTAAAACAAGCACAACTGGTAGAAACCAGTCTGAGAACAAATCGGATTACTTAACATCCATAGAACATAACTGGAGGGAGTAGATGTACCCAGAGCATTCTAGAGCATACCAGAGAACGTCTACCAGCTGCCGGTGTGCCATGGGTGTGCCATGGCACTTGTCAGTATGTTCTACAGAGGCAATGAGAAGCAAGGGTTAATCTAGAGAGTATATTAAGAGAAATTTCTTTTAAAAAACTACTGTGGAGTCAGATGTGCCAAAAAATACAATGCAGGGGTTACTGGCGTGATTGGGCTAGCTCATAGGGTACTTTTGTGTGAGTTAGAAAAAAGCACTCCCCACAACACAGGGTTTGGTAAGGAAAGCATGGGCTAGGTTTCAGCCTCCATTTGTCCCCTCTGCATGGTGTCACTTTAGGGGTCCTTTTTGTGTAAGGGTATACTTACACAACCAACACAGCAGCCCTGAGTCCTGGGACAGAAGATGGATTATGATTAGGGAGAGGGGACAGGAGCTGATCTGTACTCATGCATGAAAAGATGGGACAGAGAATTAGGAAGGATAGGAAAGATATGACCTGTGGAATAGGAAGTCTTCAGTCCTGGAAAGACTCCATGTAGATTTTGCGACAACTTATACAGATTGTTTTGCCTAGCCAACCTGCAGATTGTCCACCAGTGGGTGAAAGTTCTTTAGCAAAGAGGCCTATACAGTCTCTATTCATTTTACCACAGGTTCCTAGACTGCTCCCCAATCAGCTTCCCCTGCTACTCCACCTTCTCTGCTGTTCCACCTCTCCAGCTGCTCCACCTCTCCTGCTACTCTGCTTCCCTCCCTACCACTGCTCTCCTTTGCACTACAAAGACCACTAAGTTGTTTCAGAGCTCTCTTTACTGACCTTGGATGCTTTTCTGCTCAACTCAAAAATTTTCCTACCTATCAGATGATACCTTTAGCACCTTTCACTGATGACAGGAACTTTCGTTCGAGAATTCATTATGAAAAACAAAGTTAAAATGCCTGGTTGACATAGCATAACATGAAGTTTATTCTTACTAAAGTGTTAGGGGTTAATGAAATAAACGTAAATGACTGACAGGAAGGAAGGAAGGAAGGAAGGAAGGAAGAAAAGAAAGGAAGAAAAAGGAAGAAAGGAAGAGAAATTAAAGAGCTGGTCCCTGAAAGTGAATGAGGCATACCAAAAGGGGGATGCTGTGGAAAGCAAACTGAAATCTCAGTTTTGTAGTCTTATTTATCTTCAACTATGCCTGGAAAGAGAGAAGTTGATTATGAAGTTGGTTTTTTTTTGTTTATTTTGCTTTTTTGCGTGTGTGTTTTCTTTTGTTTTGCTTTGCTTTTTGGTATTATATGTCAACCTTTGAGCCCTATGGCACCACTAAAATTTCCGACGAGCCTTGACAATTTTATTTTTATAAGCATAAGCACCGTTAATGTAAAGCAGCTAATTATAAGGCAGTTCATTAACTGAGCTATAAGTGTATTTAAAAAAAAAAAACTGTAGAACTTGAACACTGAAAGAGAAGGATCCTTCTTCTCTTTGCTCTCTGCACACTGAACGCATCCTGATAGGGAGATTACCACCGCCAATGCATATGTACTGTCCTTGTCCTGCCACGATGGTCTTTCACTTTGCTTCAACTCACTTTGTTTCATTGATGGAATGCTCCTTGCCTGGGCATGGTGTTCTTATGTCTTATAAAACCAAATGGTTAACCAAACACTTGCATTATTCAAAGCAAATAATGATGTCCTATTGAATATCTTTTAAAAAATTTTTTATTATGTTAGCTACTAGAATAACCTAGCACTCTTTCTTCTTTTGCTTGGAAATCGAGTGTTTACTGATATAAAGAACGTAGACATCACCTGGACCGTGGCTTGCTCAGTGCCTTTCTCACCCAGGATCTTGTTCATTACAATGCAGATTATAAATAAAGTCTCACCCCATTTCTGACTGTAGGTCTGGGATGGAGCCTAAGAATTTGTGTTCCTAACGAGTTCTCTCACGATACTGAGACTACTGATCTGCAGATAACACTTTGAGAATCAGCCCAAACCCTTCACTCCACAGATTAGGAAGCTGAGCCTTAGAGAATTAAAATGTTCAGCCCAAGGTGACCCAGCCCATTAGCAGCAGAGTCAAGACCAGCACCCCAGGCCTCCTGACGTGCACAGGCTAATTACACATATATCCTATTGTTTCTTTTAAGGTTTATCAACTTTCTACATTACTCCCTCCTTTTTGTTTTGGCATCAGTCAGGATCTCAGCTCTCATTCTGCTACTTATCTCTGTTAATCTTTACAGTGAAGTCACAGGATAGTGTTTGGTATGCATTCGATAGCGTTTGGTATGGATTCGTGATCTTACAGTAGTACCAGTCCTGAGGTCCTCCCTCTCCCTAAGAAAGAGTCCTGTGACACAGTCTTGGTTCATTTTTCTTTCTAGAAAAACTTTTGCTGAACCCTTAAATGGCAAACTCTTGGTAAAATTCCTGGTTTGCATTTTAGAAAAGTTTTTTTTTCTTTTCTTTTTTTCAGACTATTACTCTTTTAGATCATTGTTTTCATCTCCTTCTGTTAGAACTTCTAAGGTAACCCTGAGACTTCTCTGCTTTTCTTCACACATCATTTTTTTTTTTTCCACAACAAATAAGTCTAAAGAAGGAATGTCTTACAATTTCCAATTATTTTTTTGAGCACTTTTGATTTGGGAGTCTCTGTTGGAGAGGCTTCTTTCTATCGATTGCTGCTTTGCTAACATCTCAATAGGAGCAGACCAATTCGGTGCCTTCCTTGCTCATTTTTTTCCTTCAGTTAATACTATTTTTACGAATAAGATAGTATTTTAGTACAGTTTTACCTCCTTTGCTCTTTCTCTTCACCTTACCTTAGCTCTTCACATATGCTTCTCTCATTTGTTCTTATTCCACACGTAATCTCTCTTGTCCTCCAACTTCCTTCCATTAATAACTTCCTATCGAAGTCTCTTGGGTTCCAGTTAGTGAGCCTCTAAATTATCCTCTGGTTGACATCATCTTTGTCTCTTCCTGCTTTAAACATAATTTCTTCAGACTGTATGCTTACTTTTTAAATCTCTTTGGGAAAAAGTATGGGATGGCGAAATGAATATATGGAAAAAGTGCCAACACATGCGTCGTATTAGAAAAAGTTCAGTGGACAGGCGAGTCACTTGTCTTCTGCGGGCCTCGCTTCTCTAACTGTAAAACTCAAACAGGTTGGTCTTGCAAGGGCTGCAAACTCAGAATCTGCCAATAGAATCCAAGCAGGTTATGTATCCAAATTGAAGAAGCGACTCTAGGAAACTGGGGAAAACATGCAATGTCCAAAGGGCATAATTTCTGCTCAGTTCTAGTTGCAGCTGTGGGAAATTGCCGGCCACTCAGGGTTTCTGGATCTGATTTTTCAAGAGTGGTCAGGAATCTAGATTTTAAAAATGTGAAAGTTCCTTATTTTAAATGTGGACAGCTAATTCAAGTAATGAACCAAAGCACACCCCATCTATGGACCAGATTTAGCCTAAGCTCCCAGTGTGTACATTTAAATGAGATGGGACTTTTAAGTTCCTTGCAAGTCTAAAATATCATGACCTTTTGGTAATGTTTTAAAACTAACTAGCTCTCCTGGGCGCATTCCTTAAATTGTTTCCTTGTCATCAGTGTTTGTTTATTTGGCTATTAGTCTCCTAAGTGAACACTCTAGTGTTTGTCGTAGGAGGAAGATATGACTTCTTCCTCCTGCCTCTAGGAACCAAATGTTTCGCTCTCATACTCTTAGCATCAGAATCAGCTGAGCACGCATGCTCTTCCTATGTGATGGCTGACTCTCTGGTGTGCAGATTGATCTTGGGGTAGGCAGCCTCTGTGTAAAGCTTGCTCCTCTGCTCCTTGGTGTAGAGGCAAAATTTTAGTCCTTCCATATATTCAACGTAATGTTAATTTACAGAGCAGTCTAACTAGGAGGAAGCTCAACAGTCAAAGAAAGACTTGAGGTTCAGAAGCCTAGGGAAAGGAATGGTTGCTAAATAGTTAAAAAAAGAAAAAAAATGGAGGAAGTTCCTTAAGAGGACAACTGAATTGAACAATATTCACAAGATCTTGCTTTATCTCATTTTATATCTTTCTTAGAAATTTCCTGCAAAGGAGAGCCTTTAGCCATTCCCTGCAAGCCAGCTGTCCCTGGACCAGGACTCTTCTGTTGGAGTTCCTTTCTGTCTTCCATCCAAAAATTGTCACATTTTTTTCTGGTTAAACCCTGGCTGGTTGGTGTTCTTTCTCTTGTCACGATAAGTCACTCACGACGAGAACCCATCATTCTCTCCCTGTAACTGGACTTTGAGAATCTTCACTTTCAGTGTTTCAGTGGAACTGCGATTCTTTAAATGACCCTCAAGATTAGAAAGAAAATAACACTCAAGGGCCAATGATATTAACAAGGAGGAAAAATACCTTCCTGGCCAGTTAGAGTTTCTGTGAGGTAGCAGCAGAGAGTATTATTGACAAAGTTAGGTATCCACACTTTATGGAATTGGGAAATATGTCTCAAACTGCAAGTTCTCTAGAAGATTCTTTAATTTTTAAAATTTTAATTACATAAAATATATGTATATCTATTTTACAAGTGTATCCTGAATCATTTGATAACCTTTTAACCAGGGACTGACATGTAATTTCAGGTAGTTAGTTTACATTTGTTTATGATTACGTCATCATTAATTTCTAATTCAGTACTCCTCAAGTATTTCTTTAAGAAATCTTAGGGCTTTATGAATTTTAAGTGGGAAAAATAATTGGTATGTGAATAGAAACTAGGTCCTGGAGTGAGATACTTCTAGGTGTTATTTATCTCGGCACGTTATGTAAGCTCCTTAAGCTTCTACGTCTATAAAATTGATATAATGTTAGTAAGGTTTAAATAAAATAATTCTTGAAGTGAGTTCAACACAGAGTCTGGCACAAAGAAACCACGAACAAAGAAGCTAGCTTCTACTCTATGGTTATTATTTCTATTGCTGGCTACTTAAAACCTTATCATTTGTTCTTGCTTTTAATTCCATTATTGCCATAGATACGTCATCTAATATTTCAAAATAACACACAGGCACAGACTTAGAGGACAGAGTTGGTGGTTAGTGATATGTTATGATCTGAAGCACCCTATGAGGAACTTCTTAATGTTACTTAAATTTCTCCCTTGCCACTAAATTTCTAATTATTATTAAAGATCGAATCCTCATCTTGTATCAGAAAAAGCTAGCTCTCTGTCAAAATGTGTGCTTCCCCTTCAGAAAATTGTCACTAGAAGCAGCTACCCAGACAAAGACTATATTTCCCCATTCCTCCTTCACCTAACGTGGCCTTTCTTCTAATATTTACCTGTAGAATGTGAGCAGAAGTGATGTGGCATTTTCGGGTCAAGATTTAAGAAGCAAGTGTACGTTCTCCATCATCATTTTCATTCTACCAGCTGAATTCATTTGAAGATGAGGACCCAACAGAAGACTAAACCCCAAGATGGAAGGAGATTGCATCTTTGAACTACATAACAGAGGAAAACTGCCCACCAACTGAGAGCACTTACCCTAGTTGGTTAAATGAATGAGAAATAAACCTCTACTACATTTCTGCTACATATTCTGGAGACTACTATTTACTGCCCCTAGCCTTATCCTAATTAATACAGAAATTGACTCTTTGAAGGAATGTTGCTATATTAAAAAGCTAAAGTAAATACATTTGGCCAAACATTTGGGCAGCAGGTGGCAAAGAAACATGTTGGGTGCTGGAGAGGTGGAGACCCATGCTATGTGTTGGCAAAGCATTTTTAAAACTATATCTATGATAACTTAAAAGGCAGAATCTATTACAACAATGGACTAGTGACTGCTATATGTTCTTCTCTTTCTTAATAGTTTTTATTATGATTATCTCGTTCCTGTTTTATCATCATATAATGAGCAGTGCAGGTAACTTCTCTATATGTTTGTATATCATAGTACTGAGAGAGCTTTAGATGGGAAGACTTCATATCTCCCAAAATGCTGGACTTTGAGCCAAACGCTCGAACTAGATAGGACTATAATATGTATCCTTAGAGTGAGCAAAAAAGGGTGTGCTTGAATATTTAGTGAAAAGAATGGCAGACTGAGGAAGAGCCAAAACTTGTTATCTCTTCCAAATTTCGTCTAACCTAAGATTTCATTGGTTGTCAAAACCACAATTTTCTGTACTACTAAGAAAGAAAAAATACTGCCAACTAAATATGAATTTGCTTTGAATATTTGTCCTTGATTGAATAACGCATTCTTATCAAAGAGATGATAAAGTGTGAAAAATGTATAGATGAGGAGTAATGAAAAATATTAATTTTTTTCTGAGAACTGACTGTCCCATCTAAAATAATATTTTCTAATCTCCTCTGTGCCCAGCTGTTGCCTTGAGATTATTTCTCACAAATAGATTATGAATGGAAGTGAGATGTGTCACTTCTGGGCCAGATTCTTTAATATGTGTATACCTTGTCCATACTCTCTTTTTTCTTCTGTAGCTAAAAGCAGATGACAGTGAGATCTAGGAGATGGCAGAGCCACAAAGGGAAAAAAGAAAAAAGAAAACAAGCCTGGTTTCCTGAATCACCAAATGGAAGAAAGCCACCACAGACCAGAAATTCCCATACCGGTCTATGATGTGATCAAGAAATAAACTTCAATTTTCTTTAAGGTATATATTTTCAGCATTTATTATTATTATTATTATTATTATTATTTATTATTATTATTATTATTTATCACAGTCAATATGATCTTAATTAACACTTTCTTACCTGGGTTGTTGTAAGGATTAAAAAAGGTATTATATGTAAAGCTCTTAGAAGAATGTTCTAATGTTAGAAGGGTTTATTAAAGCCACTGTTGCTACTAGAACTGTGTCTTCCAAGTCTGAATGTGATGCTCTTCTGAATCATTGTTGTAAGGATTTTAAAAAGTATTATACGTAAAGCTCTTAGAAGAATGTCTAGCATATAATAAGCACTAAATGGATGTTAACTATTATTATGATTTAGAATAACTTTTGTTTTTGGAAATTAGAAAGTTGTACTAGAAAACAACTTGAGTCAATTATTCCAAGTCTTGCCACTTTAAAGATAAAGAAATGAAGTCACTGAGAGGATGAATGACTTGCTTTAAAGTCACTTTATCAGTCGTAAACACTTTAGTATGAATTAATCGCTTTGTTTTAGTCAGGAAAGAGCAGGCTGCTATAGGAATGAAACTATGGATGGGGAGGAATGCAGATGCTTTGGAAGTTGGGTTATTACCTGTGAGGGAAAACCTGGGATTGAGAGAGAGTTGGGAGAGGATGGGAAGAACTACACAATAACATTTTCGTGCTATTCCTAAATATAATGGTATGCCTAAAATTGCTTAGTAAAAAGTAATAAATATATTTGGGTAATTGTTAGCACAAAGTCTCTTTTTCTGGAAATGACTCCCAGAAGAGGCAAGCCTAGATGGCCATGTTGATACAATGTATCCTAGTTCTTCTACTATGGCAGATTGGAATAGAGATGTACAACTCACCCAAACTGAGACAATTGGCGGCTTCTCTTGGAACCAGTGTGGAATTGGCTCTCTGAGAGTTAGATGTGTTAGCTGTGGGGAGCCTATCTGTTACATGTAGCATCATGCCTGGAGTCATATTTATGGCCTAGAAAAAGCTACGTGCAGGCCAAAATCATAGAAAAACAGAAGTTATGAATAAGTGAAAGGATCTGGTCTGTGGAGATAAAAATAGGGGCAGATATTCAGAAAATAGCAAAGAAGAGAGGCCGTGTGGTTCCAGGATTTATTGAGCATGACCCCCAGCCCAACAGCTTACCGGTTCCCATCTTCAGCTCCCAAGAGGCTAGATCGGATAGTGTTTTCATGAGTTCTCTCTGTTCTTAAAAATAAAGCCACTTAAATAAAATCTGAACTGGTTAGTTTCTGTTCTTTCAGTCAAGAAATTGGTGATAACACAGTCCTAAATGAATTTAATGACTAAATCAATTAAAATTAAAATCTCCTAACAATATTCAATTATTTATTGTAAGGTAATAACAATAAAAGTTTACATCTGCCCAGACCGAAGATCTTATTAAAGCCACTATTGTTACTAGAACTGTGTCCTCCAGGCTCTCGTGCTAAGAGTCTGAATTTGATGCTCTTCTGAATTGTCTACTATCTTAGAGATCACCTTAATAATGATTTGAATTGATGGAGTTAAATTTTTCATATTTCTACCACGACAGATAAAATAAACCAAAGTTTTAAATGTTATCCTGTTCAGAATTTCTTTGAAGCGGGTAGGAAGAAGGGCAGAGAGGGAATTTTTCTTTATTACAATAGTAATACATGGTCATCATAGAAACTTTTGATAATATAAATAAATAAAAGAAAAATTCTAAAAATCAAAGTTTACCACTAAACATTAGTAATTTTTAGGACAAAATCTCAACAATGATGAAAATGTAGTCACATTAGTATCTTGAATTGTCCTCAAGAATTCATATAATTTTACTGGTTATATTTCTTTGTATGCTCATAGATGTGTTGTTGTTGCATCTGTTGTTTTATTTTGTTTTGTTTTCCAAAGAGTTTACTGAGGACCAGAATTTGAATCACTGGGAAACACTTTTTGGAAACACTTCTTTATTTTTGCTAATGAACAATAAACACATTTACTTTATTCTGTTCCTTTGTTCCTTAGGAAGTGAAAAATCATTATCTAATTGAGATATCCTGTATGTTATAGAGAAAAAGAGATTCAAACCACGTTCCTAATTCTTTATATTCCCTTATCTGCTTTTTATCAGCAATTTAATGAAAGCATATTTTTTATTTCCTAGCTGTTTGCTTGTGTTTCCTGTTAAGACACCAAATCTAAAATGACTTCAGTTCCAGAAAGGTCTGTTTGGCCGCTCTGGAATCATGATCTATTTCATCCCCTCCTTATTTTGGGCTTTCACTGTGCTTATTTCTGTTCGTTTTCTATGACAAATATTTCATTCTTTCCCCCATTGGGGCTAACATTTATTATCTTTGTTCCTATTATCCTTTTCCCTTGTTAGATTTAATTGAGCCTCTCTTGTTTTGTTTACCATATTTTAAAAATGAATTATCCTGATCCCACAGTATTTGCTCCTTATACCAAGGACTTACTGCCTGCACGAAATTCTACTTGTTTCATAACCAAAGTTGATGAATAAGAGTTTTAGAGGTGCTTTGCTTTCTTTCACACGTTTGATTTTTGCCATTATACATATTTATCTCTGTTTTCCACTAATAAAGGGGATACAATTGAAAAACTAAACTTCCTAAACTCTCCACTATGGTTTTCTGAGTTCTTTCCACTTTGAATTCCAAACTTTTTTGGAGGGGCCATTTTAAGAGGACATCATTCTCTGGTTTGGCTTCCAGAGACTTATGTTCCCATTCTGCTGAATCATTATCAGCTTTTTTAACCAGGAAAGACACACTTTACTTGTTATGTGAAAATTTAGCTAAAGTTTTGTTGGGGAGAGCAGAGGATTATCTACTTAATCTGTTTACACATGGCTGGCAAGAATCATATCTGAATTTCAGAAATTTCAGCTACTCTCAGCAGCCGGAACAGGTGGAATGTAAGAGAGTCTTACATTCGGTTAACAAATATTTATGGAATTTCTACTATGTACTGAGCACAGTTCATCTGTGAATACAATGGATATGACCTCTGTTCTCAAGGAGGTCATGGTCTAGCCAGAAAGATGAATAGATGTGTGTTGCAATATGCAGTGTTAACATCTGTGATTGGGGTAGGCACTGGGTTAGAGGAGAGCAGACCAGGTGGGGAATGACAGAGGTAAGATACATATGCTGAGACTTCAAGGACTAGAAGACATAAGCAAAGGGGAGGGCATTCTAGAAAGAGAAAAGAGCTGAAAAAAATTGAAAGGAGGTTTGAGGAACTCCAAGGACTTGATGTTACTAGTGATGGTGTATGTGCATTGAGAGTGTGAATGTTGTTGGGAAAATAGGGGAACATGTGATGAGATTATGAATGGTTTGTGTGCCATGCTGAAGAATTTACACATTATCCTGGAGATGCTGAGAATCCTTGAAGAATTCTAAACAGTCACATAATGATCAGATTTATAATTTAGAATGAGTCCTCTAGCAGTGGGGAGGAAGCGGGTGGGTACTGACGGGTCCCAAAGGTCTTTTTTCACATGAATAGAGGGTACTTCTCACTTGAGCTGAGCCTAGCTTCACTGAAGGTCAGAGAGGTCAGGACCACCCACCAGCACCTGAACATTTACCTCTTTTTCTACTTTCCTTCTTTTTATTCCTCTTCCTCTCCTTCTTCCTACCCTCTCTGCCTCCTCCTTTTCTCAAACATTCTCTTAAGGAGCTCTTAAACTTGGCAGTTAAAAAAAAAAGTCAGTGAAAACTTTCCAGTTAGTTGTGAATGTCTTCTGTCTTTTTCTCTATGGTCATTGTTAAATTACTTACTGGCTGAGTTTCCTTTCATGGATGCTCAATGCTCTTACTTTCCCTTTCACTACCTGTATTTCTTTATCACAATCCATTATCACCTTTGATATAGGAAGGGGAAAAATAGAAATTCAAGTAAATTGATTTTATTATTGACTTGTGGTTCTTTCAGAGAATTTATTAGTAGAATATGAAAACTACAAGTGACCTTAATGTTTTTCAAAATGTTTTTTAAAATGTATGCTGTGACTCATGTGTAGCTCATGAAATCAATGTAAAGGGTCATAGCCTGCATTGAAAAAAAAAAAAGGTCATAACATAATCTATTAGAACAGAACATATCAGAGCTGCTAAATAGACTAAATGTCAAGATTGTTTTATGAAACTTTTGCGTAATTATAGGCATGTGTTTATTCATGCAAGTAATATAAAACATATGTCTTATGAGCGGTAATAAAAAACTTAAATTTTTAAAAATACAAAACAATTCTTAAAAACTTTGAAAAAGCCTGTTTGATCAACTTTTTTTTTTACTCTGAGGGTATGAAAAAATTGAGAACTAGAGAAGCTGACTTGTCCAAGTCCATTAGTGGTAAATACAAGATTTGAACTCAGATCTCCTAATATTCTGATATTCTCTGAACGCAAGTTGATTGATTACCTAACATGAGGACTGGATTGTGGATTTTATTTACTTAATTTATCCTTGAGACCACGTTGTGAAAGAGAATCAGATATTCATGATGCTTTGTTATCTTAGTATTTATGAGAAAATAACCCATGTTTCTTTTTCGCTTTGTATCACAGATGAAAACTAGACTTTGCTAGATTGTCAGTTTATGTCTTTATTATTTTTAAAATTCTTTTTTTTTGTGGACAAGTTTGATATATATTCATGCTTATGTTTTCAATAAATATAATCTAGTTCATTTCTTTCTCAGCTAACTGGCTAAATATCATTTTTGCCTTTCCTTTCATATTCTCTGTCTTGAAAAATATACATTTCAGGATGTTTAGGGTGTTTTGTCTTAGATCAAGTAACTGTTAGGTAGACTTTGAACCTCTGCTAGCCTTATGGTTCTATTGCTTTTACCTTTGAATCAATATGTTTGGATTTTTTCTTCTTTTTTTTCCAAGAAATTAAACTTTTCTGTTTTATTCACACAGTATTCTATGACAATATCAAGAAGGCATTGAGGCACCACAAAGAACACCAGATTGGAAATTAAGAGACCTGAGTCCTGGGTTTTCTTGTTACCTAATTTATTGTTTGAATTTCAGCGGATCTCATAACAACTTTAGGCCTTGATGTTTTCATTTGCAAACTGAGGAAGTAGATCAAGATTATTGGTAAGTTGCTGTAATCGGTGTTTCCTAATCCTGTGGAAGTTATGGATTCATTTTCAAATATGAAAATACTGCTTCCTTCCTCTTTCTTTAAGAATATCTTCTATAGTTGGAGGACTCCTAGAGCTGGAAGGAAATTTGAGCAAGCTAGATCATCCATGTCATTTTCTTCCAGTCTCTTACTTTTACTTATCAGTACTTCTTGTTTATTCATTTTGTTTATTCATTTAGTAACTCAATGTTTTTACTTCAAATAATGACATGGACAATACCACTTAAAATCCATTTCTCATGTAAGAATCCTTTATTCATTCATTCTCCTTGGGTCTGTCACTGTGTTCCATGTTGTGGGTATAATGGTAAATAAGATAGACATTTCCTTTCTACTAGAGAGACTGACAAAAAGAAGTTACCAAAAAAATTAATAAAATAACTTTAAACTGTGATAATTACTGTGAAAGAAATACACATGACATTGAGGAATTATAGGGAAAAATCATTTTAATAAAGAGGGGTCAGGAAGACCTATCTGAAAAGGTGACAGTTAAGCTGCAATTAAAAAAAGATATGAAAATATTTGCATGTAAAAGAGGAAGAAAAGGTATTCATACAGAAGGACTAACATGTGCTAAGGTCCTGTGACAGAAAAGGATGGAATGTGGTTTAGAAACTTAAAGAACAGTATCGACACAAGAATGTCCAAACGTATAGAAAACTTATGAGTTTACTGGAGCCAAACTGAGGACATGCCCCAAAGCAAGATCTCAAAATGCTCCGGAGAAAAGTAGTTTTGCAGTTCTTTTTATATATTTGAAGCTAAAGGTTGGGGAAATGAGGAAGGTTACGTGAAATCCGTTGGTGGTAGATTAAAGAGATGGAGAAAGCAAGGTGGGGAGATCCTCATGAGTGGATAAAAAGCAAAATGAAGAGATGCTCTTACACTGATCTATACAAGATAATTAACATTTAACATTTACATTGAACAAGGCTGGTATATAGACAACAAGATCACGTAATCCCTTGAGGGTAGTTATGCCTCTAAGGGGTCTGAAAAAGAGGATCATTCTGGCATTACAAAGGTATGTTAACCTCGATACACAAGAACAATGGACAGAGCTTGTTTAAGGCAAAGATAAACCTTTTACTAAATAAGTTATGGGCTGGGATGTGACTACCCATCATGACCCACCCAGTTACAAATTTATAATCAGATTACCTGTGAAATTCTCTTTAGCCGCTGAGCTTGTCAGATTTATTACATAGCCCCTTTTTTGTTCACAACAATATCTTGTAACTTAATGAGAAAGAGAATGGTGCAAGGTGGTGTTGGACAGATAGCAGGGGCCGGGTTGTATAGGACATTTTGGACATGGTAACTGCTTTGGGTTTGTTCTGCAAGCCTAGCCTCAAAATCTATACATTTCATTCAATGTATTAATTACTTACTATCAGCTTTATTACTTACTTATTTACTGTATGTATGTATGTATGTACGTACGTACGTATGTATGTATGTATAAGCCAGTTCTTGTGCACTATTTTAGATTTCCTGGCCTCAGTCATCTTCAGTTTTTAGCTATGAAGGAAAAGAAGAACTTTTTTCCTCTACCTTCCTAGGTTTATTTGTTAGGTCCTGAAAATAAACTGATAAGAAATAGATTAGCAAGAGAAAAAAAAGGAAGATTTAGTTGCATATACACCCATGGGGATTCCCAACAAATGAAAACTCAAGGAGGTAGCCAGGTGATTGAAGCTTGATATATTTTAAGATAAACAAAAGAAAGAAGTTTGGGGCTTCTGGGTGGGAAATGCAAGTTATGAGAAGGGGAAGGGAAGAAATGTGTGGTAAATAAGGGTTGTTTTGTTATGCTGCTAAGAGCTGGCTCTGGGTGTAACTCTCTGTCTGGTAAGAGACACCTTTACAAATGGAAATTTCCTTTTTAAATGTAAATTTCCTTTGCAAAAGGGGAAATTTATACTCTATTGTTAGGCAGTTAGAGGAAAGTAAAGAGCTTTTCCTTCATCTGCAGGTTCTCAGTTGCCTTTAGCTCAAACTAATCTGTAGGCCAAATAGACATATTTTGGGGTGGCATGTTCTGGTACCCTTCATTCTGCCCTTTAAAGCTTTTTTTTTTCCCCCATGAAAAGGCATTTATGTGGAAACAAAAAGAAAAACAAAGGTTAATGGATGAAGCAAATGATAAACCCACTTTCAGAGACCAGAGGGAAGTCGGTCAAAAATATTTCCAAATGTTGGGCTTAAAATATTTTTAGATAATGAAGTGAGGATGGCAGTGACAATACGACTTTCAGTTTCCTGCTTTACTGTTTGAATGTCTTGGTGATGGCATATACGTGAGTGTCACAGTCATGGTTATTTTTTCAGAACAGAGCACGGAAACATCACATTAGCTAGTAGGACCCTTTTAGATACTCCCAATAAGGATTTGGGCAATCAGGTGTTAGTTATCGATGGTGTCAAAACAGAAGGATGAGGGAAAAATTGGAATTGTTTAATTACTGACAAAATATACAAAACACAGGAGCCAATTTACAATGAGGTGAAAACACTCAAAGACAACAAACATGGCTAGAATACAGTAACCCACAAAGATGTACTATATCTTTTTTTATTGAGGCATAAATTTTTTTCTCTCTCTGCAATAACTCTAATTTTTATCAAAGATAAAGTAAGACTAATTTGCAAAATAAATCTAGTCTTATTAAACTTGGCCTGATTATTTACATAAGAGCATCAAGGATAATAATTGACCATTTAGGCTCTTTTAAATCTGGTTTGCTGGGAATTTAAATAAGGGAACTCAGATCAGACTTTTAAAAACCTCTTGAGACTAAGAAGCCAAACCAAGAATTTTCTATTAGCCTTCACCTGCAATACCTATAGATTTGGGTGAATTCTTCCTTTCTCAAGGTTCCCAATATGTTTTAAAGTTCCTAGGCCTGTCAGGAAGTGATCTTCCTTACTTACTTGGAATGTCAGAAGTACTATAAACCAGGTATCGGTTAGACATTCCAAGAGGGCTTTGTAAGCATTGGCTCCACACAGTCAACCCTAGTTCCTTAAAGCTCTCAAGTTATATTAAATTTCATATGAATATGCATAATTCTCAAATATGACATTCTAGTCAAAGCCTTGGTAGTATAACCAATGTTTCAGATTTTGTTCTGTTTACAAGGAGAACAGATTCTTACTGAACTTATGCAAATAATTATAATACCATAAAAGTAAGAATATTCAATAAGAGTTTCTAGAGGTATCAGAAAGGGAAAAAAATTAAATGTTTCATCTTTGTTCACAAACAATACTTTACTATATTGTTGTAAGTTAGATAGCTTAACAGAAAAGAGAAAAAAAAATTCTTTAATACGGAAAATACAACTTTAAAGAACCAGTAATGTTTCAAACAAAAAATCCATACATAATGATGATTATTCTCACTAGTTTATTCAGTCCCATGAAATTATTCTTGTGCTTGATATTGGGTTAGCACTTTTATGAATCCATTAGTTTCCCCATTAGTTTTGGAAATTTTTACCTAGTCCAGTGGCATGATTTTAAATGATCAGAAGCCTATACTCCAGAGTACTTGCCATAGTCTTTTTCATGAATCTCCTTGAGGATGAAACATTTTCACCTGTAATTGATTGCCAAAGCTTTCAGAAAAGAATGAGTACAGCATTAACTGGGTGAATGACAAAAGACTTAAAAATGGCCATAGTTAAAGATCTGATGAGAGTTCATTATAGCACAATTGACAAGTAAATTAGGTTCTTTCTATGACATACAACATTTTATAATAACTGAAATTATGACTGATACCATTATACAAGGACATATGAATAGCAAAGATATTGACAAATTTCTAGGAACTTTATACAATTTCTGAAACACTTGTATTAGTAACATATATTCATTAAAATGTAACCTAAAGAAGGTTAAGCATCATTTATTACTTGACAATGCTTCCCATATAATTTAATATATCAAATAGACTGAATTAGCTTAACTTTTCTCTTTTACAGAGTGACAAAACCAAACCTTTGAGATTTTCCAGGAGCCCTCTGGGAAGTCTCAAAGTTATTTTGAGATTAAAAAAAGATCCCATTTAGATTTTATGTTGGGAAATTTGTCATAATGTCACAAGGTTTGATCACCTGATTAAATAGGATCACAGGTCACTATGGAACAATACTTAGTTATCTATTTAACCAAAGTGATAATAAAAGATTTCAAAGGTAAATATGACTATATAAAAAACGTTAGCACTCTTAATGTTAAGAAGATTCAGTTTTTTTTAAGTAATCAAAAACATAATAAAGACCATAAAGCACAATAAATTATTTTGGTAAGATATAGAGTGTCTGTTTCTTAGGTATATTGCTCAACAGGTAAAGAAAAATCTTTTACAATCTCTTATTAGGAACAGACCAATAATCCAAACTCCAGTTTTGTGTCAGTACACTGTTGATATTAAAGTTTGTTTTAAAACCTTATGATAAATACATTTAATTTTAGCCAACTTGACCATATAAAACAAGATTTTCTCTTTCTCTTTTCCTTTACAACTTCATATATTCACCTATGTTTTTGTCCTTTATTTTCCTCTTTTGTGCCTTAAACGACCTTTAAATAACCTGAAACTATTTTAGGATAAAATTACTCTCCTTTTTCTTAAAAACACATCCTTCATATCTCAAAACACATTTCATTTTCCTTGCATACTTTGCATACAGAATTTTTTCCTTCACTTGTATTATTCCTAGTAATTCATTTACATATACTAAAATTCATAACTCTTAGTAGCCTTAATTTCTAGAGAAAACAATGAAGTAGGCTGTGTTTTATATATCAGCATTCAATAGATTAGCAAATTTATGAATATACCAATTTTATAATTTTTAAAGACATGTTTTTTATAGTACAATTTTTCAAAAATTATAAAAGAATATAGTAAAAGAATATGTTTACTAACACACCCAAATTTCTTCAGTCTCTGTAATAAGAGTCCAAAAGTAGATAAATTTATGTTTAGCAATTAATGTTTCAGTATATTTTTCTTATTTGGAAATGCTCTAGAGAGTCAATGAATGTCTATCATTAAACTTAACTAAGTATTTTGCCAAAAAGATTTTGGAAACTATTTTTAAACATCAAGACTCATTTATAAGCTTTTATTCCACTTGTATCTATTTCACTCATGTGTTCTTAACTATTATGCTTGGGTTGTTCACAAAAATTCCATGAGACATTAAACAAAGTTAGCCATCATTTAAAGCATTTTCTTGTTAACAAATTTTGTAACATAATGTATTTAGGGAAATAATAAAAGTAACAGAAATAAAGAACCTAAAAGTTAAACATATGACTTAGGTTGAATTTATAATTTTATAATCTTAAACAACTAGTAGAAATAGCATAAACTTATTTGACCAATAAACACAGGTAGAATAAAATTGTGTCTGACAACTTGAAGACATACCTATTTTTACTTAACCTACAATATTAAACTATCCTTATTACCAAAGATTATCTCAGATCATGTAGACTTGATAAAACAAAACAAAACAAAACAAAACAAAACATTTGGGTTAGTTTCTATTTTTCTGACAACTTTAGGAAGACTTAATTTATCTATAAGTGCTTATTTCTTTCTAAACCAATTAAAGCAGAGCTCTTTTACAAATTTATTTTCCTTGCATACTTTGCATACAGAATTTTTTCTACTATCACGAGGTAGAAAAATATCACATAAACAAAACACACATATGTAGACATACATAAACATAGAGACAGACACAAATGAGATCTTAGACCTTTCATTTAAAAATTTTATCCATGAGTCAGGTACAATAATACAAAACACACTGGTTTATGTAAAATAGTTGGATCCAAATTATGTTTTTGGCAGATGAAACAAGTGAAAGTTATCTACTCAATGATGGCTACAAATTTTTACAAACATTTCTGGAGAAGACTTTTAAGATTTCCATTTGCCTTTGATAAGTAAACTTATAAAGACTATATACTAAATTTTGGGTAAAGGGCCTTTTGCAAATTTATTTTCCAAAGGCCTCTTTTTAATTTTTTTTTTTTTTTAATTTTTTTTAGGCTGAGGCAATTGTAGGTAGTTGCTTTAGCCAAAATTATCTTTTTTGGATGTTTACATTTAAAGAGGATGGTAAGATGTATACTTCCAAGGGACAGAGAAAGAAAATAAGTTTTTTAAAGAAGGAGTTTGGAAGCATATTTGCTTATATCTAGAACAATTACTATTTGGTTTTTTGTTTGTTTGTTTTGTTTTGTTTTTAATTTTAGTATAGGGCAATTCAATGAATTCTTTATGGTGGAGATCCAAAATACAGTCACAAAAGTCTTTACTTGGGAAGGTCTGGAGCTGGTGGGGTCTGATTACCTAGTAAGAAACAGTAAATTAGCCTTGCTGAATGTTCTCAGGACCTTTGTTAAAGCTATTTCTTGGCTATCAGAATTCATATAAGTCTCACAAAAAGTGTCTTTTGTAATTCTTAACATTTTTAAAAGTCTGATCTCCATCTCCCAATCTTGCTACGGGAGTTTTTCTGTGTTTTATTTTTTTGGTTGGCCAAGGCACTTTCCAATCCTCTCCCTAAAGGCCATATATGACAAGACCACAGCTAAAATCATACTCAACAGTGAAAAACTGAAAACTTTCCCGTAAGATCAGGAACAAGACAATATTGCCTAATATTGCCACTTTTATTCAACATAATACTAGAAGCCCTAACAAGAGCAATTAGGCAAGAAAAAGAAATAAAGGACATCCAAGTCAGAAAAGGAGAAGTAAAACTGTCTCCATTTACAGATGACATAATATTGCATATAGAAAACCCTAAAGACACCACCAAAAAATGTTCAGTAAAGTTGCAAGATATAAAATCAACATACAGAAGTCTGTTGCATTTCTATGCACTAATAATAAACTATCAGAAAGAAATTAAGAAAATAATCCATTTAAAACTGCATCAAAAAGAATAAAATCCTAGGAATAAATTTCACCAAGCAGATGAAAGACCTGTGCACTGAAAACTGTAAGATATTGGTGAAAGGTATTGAAGAAGACTCAAATAAATAAAAAGTATTCTGTACTCATGGACTGGAAAAATTAATAGTGTTAAAATGTCCATAATATCCAAAACAATCTATAGATTCAATGCAATCCCTACCAAAATTCCAATGGCATTTTTCATGGAAACAAAACAAATACTCCTAAAATTTGTGCTGAACCACAATAGACTTTAATAGCCAAAGCAATCATGAGAAGATCAAAGCTGGAGGCATCACACTTCCTGATTTCAAACTATGTGAAAAAGATTTAGCAATCAAAACACTTGAATCCCTTGCTCTCTCAAGCACATCAGGCATGTTCCCAACTCAGAACCTTCCACTTATTGTTCCTTTGAACAGGCATGTGATTTCTGCAGATCTTCATGTGGATGGTTCCCTCACCTCCTTCAGTCCTTCGCTGAGATGCCGCCTTCTCGGTGAGGTCTTCCTGGTCACCCTCCATCCCCACTAACCGTAGCCCTTAGTATTTCCCTTTCCTATGCTACTCTTCTCCAAGACATATGCTATCATATTACGTACATTTCCAAGACATAGGCACCTGGTTGCTAACCTCTGCCCAGGCCCTGTTCTCAGTTTGTAACCAGCTAAAGTTCTTGTGAACATAGGCAGAGTGAGGTGGGGAAGAGTTCAGAAGTGACTCCCTCCTAATAATTTGGGATTTTCTTAGTTCAGTGTCTGTTAATTATATGTATAGTTTGTTTCATTATCTTTACATTATTAACTAAAAAATATTCTACATTAACTTACAATAATGTAAGTTACCACAAATTTTACACAAGTGAATTTTTGTAGCCTTCATTTTTCACTAGTTTGTTGATTATCTACATCCTGTCCATGAGGACAAGAATTTTTATCTGCTTTTTTTTTCTTATGCCTATATCTCTAGAACTTAAAACACTTCTGACACATAGTATGTCATTAATAAACATTCGAATTAATGTTGCATTAGTGAATGGCTCACCCTGTGTATACATATATTGTGCATGACTCTCCTGCTCTCAGAAGCTAATAGAA